TGAAAAAAAATGAGATGGATTTCCAGTGCGTTTGGGGTTAAAATGAACTACAAAACCAGATTTCTGTGGGGAGTACCAAAAGCAAAGGCATCGAGAAGTCACAGATGTCAGGTGGAGTAGGAGAAGTTTATTCAGTTGACAGTCGGGAGAGGGTGAGGGGCAATGTTGGGGACAGTGTGATCTTCAGGAGTCTGGGAGACACGTAAAAGGAAGCTGGCAACAGGGAGGTGGAAGGTGGGTCTGGGGCTCGGCTGAGGTCCCAGAGGTCTGCGTTAGAGGGGAAGACACTGATTTCATTTGAGTAGAAGTCACTGGTGACTTCACAAGAATAGACGTGATCACTCAAACAGAGCCTGTTGCCAGAAGGAATCACTGAAGGTACAAGTTTCAAGACAGGCACTTGAAGGAATTCCAAGGGCATCTCCAGGAAAAATGGAATAATAGAAATCCCACAGTATGGTGAGGGAGAGACGGGAGGACACTCAGGAAAGATTAGAGGCCCCGGCGCAGAGGTAATGTGATGTCGGCCCAAGGTCGAGTGCAGGAGTCTGTGGACTCAGCGTCTGGACGGTCATTGGCAATCAGGGGACTCTGGTGTTGCATCAAAGTCACAAACTCCTTTGAAACAATATTACCTTAACAAAATCGTGGTGGTAGGAACTGGCCGAGAGGGGGCTTTCAAAGGTGTGAGGGGTGTGGGCAGCTACCCTGAGAGTGACTTCAGAGTCCTGTGTTTCAACGGTTCTTTGCATAGCTTCATGTGTGTGTTGCTGGATAGGGGACCTTGGTGTGCAGATTCCAGGGTCCCTCGTAGAGCGTGTCTTCTGAGGAATGTCGCCCGGTGTGATGGTCAACCCACAAGGTGGCCCCAGGAATCCTCTCCTCCCGGTGCTCCCAGCCCCCTGCAGCCCACCCACAGCCAATAGGACTGACCTCTGTATTCATGGTAAACTGAACACACGGCGGAGGGAAGCTTACGTGTCATACCGGACATGGCGGCTTTGGACTTGCTGTCTCGAATCCATTACCTTGAGGAAAGTCAGCCGCAGTGCGGTGAGGGCACGCAAGGGGGCTCCCGCCCACAGTCAGTAGCAGGTTGCCAGCCTGGTGGGGGAGCAGCGTCGCGAGTGGATCCTCAACCCCATTGCGACTACAGATGACAGAGCACATGCCAGCATGAGGACCGCAGCCTCATGATGGACCTGAGCCAGAGCCACCGACGTCTTCATGGGCAGGACTGTTTTCAGTTCTTGTGTGTTGGAGTAACCTCTTACACAACAATAAGTAACTAAAACACCCAGTCCTTCTGTCATCACCCCATTATTCCGTGTCATTTCAGGCTTGCGGAACCCTTGATTACAGCTCCTACCCGATACATTACTTTAACTTTCCCCAGATCACCTGGGTGCGGGGACAGGAGTCTCAGGTAGAGAGAACCATAGAGTTAGAGAAAGGTCAGATTTGTGTTTTCATGCTTGTCACGGGTCCCTCCGCTTTCTCTATGGATTTCCAGCTCCACCATGATCATTGTGCTCAGTGATTTAGATGTCCTCTAGTGAGGATTTCAGGCCTGAGCCACGTGGCTCTTCCAGACTCTGGTTTTCAAGTGATGGAAACTGCATGCAGAGAAAGGCTGAACAGCTTCCTTGGACCATAACCTGGCCTAAAAGTGGCCAAACTCACTTTGTCTTGATCTCCGTGTTTACGACTAAAATTGCAATTTTCGTTATGGTTTTTTTTTTTTTTAATTTTTTTTCAACGTTTTTATTTATATTTGGGACAGAGAGAGACGGAGCATGAACGGGGGAGGGGCAGAGAGAGAGGGAGACACAGAATCGGAAACAGGCTCCAGGCTCTGAGCCATCCGCCCAGAGCCCGACGCAGGGCTCGAACTCACAGACCGCGAGATCGTGACCTGGCTGAAGTCGGACGCTTAACCGACTGCGCCACCCAGGCGCCCCTCGTTATGTTTTTAAAGTCATATGTAACTACAGTTCCTTCTAAAAATGTCATTACTATGTCGTGCCTTGAAATTCACCGTAGTGTTGGGTGTAGCTTCCGGTCGCAATATGCCACGTGGTAAAAATAGTGTTATTGTTTCTACCAGTGTGGCAAGCCGGTGCTTTGATGGGGGGGATTGACTGATGTGTGTCACTGATCTTCTGGGCTTTCTCTGCTTCGGCAGGTGGATTCTACGCCCTTCTCCAGCCCCATAGAATGCCCATCGCTTTTCCGGCTTCCACAGACACTCTTCTGCTGTTAATCCTCTAATGGCTTCCTTTTTGCTATTCGCTTTGATTACTTTCTGGACACCAATCTTCTATCCCAAACGTAGCCTCATTTCTCTCTTCTCCAAACATTATTTTGTGGGCTCTTGTTCTCACACATACTTTGGTACCGGCTTCTCTTGCCTGCAGACAAATATCCTGGTCTATAGCAGTGCAGTGTTTCCATAGCTGCTTGTAGCACCGGTGATGAAAAATAAAATAAAACCCGAAAAAGCAGGACGCACACCATCAAGGAGGTGAATATTTATCACACATCTTCTTTAACTCCTGGGCAGTTTCTTGTTGGATGTGCGGAGAGGAAAATATATAACCAACGCGAAACCTATGACGCAAGTTGCAATTTTGACTTCAACTATCTTATAACCTTAATCTCTGCGTGCTGCGATGGGGCTGTGGAGTTTAATAGCTATTTTGCCTTTGCTTTGCATTGTATTTGTGACAAATGACAAAATTTACTCGCTCAGAAGGTTGGTTTTTTTTTTTTTTTTTGAAACTGTAACCAAAATGTAAGTGAAGCCAGGCCAGCCATGATGGAATAGTGACTATAATCTTCCCTTAGTTTATCTGGAGACTGTAATAAAGGCATCAATGATCCTAGATATGTGCCCTCTTTTATAGCTTTGTAAAAAATATTCTCCAGGAAGATGTCATTGCTGTTGAACTTTTCTTTGGATTCTCTGCGTGAAATATTGAACCCCTGTCTTCCTCATCATCACAGGTTTCAAGGGCTCAATGCTCCTCAAGACACAAGCAAGGACGAAAGATCGATAATTCTTTCTGCCCTCCGTGCTACCTGGTATCCCAGCACGTTTCACCCAAGTCATGCAAACAGCTACACTACACCAAAGAAGTGCCCATTTACCTGCAAAAATCTCAACTGGGTGGCAAGCTGGGAGGGGATACATTCTACCCCATGTGCTGGTCCCCACAGTGGCCGTGAGTCATTTCCAAACCGCGACCCATTCATTCCATGTGGGGCGTTATTAGAAGAACCCCATTTCCCAGTGTTTTCTGCTTCGATTCATGTGATTTGATTCAATCACTGAGCACATGTCTTCTTGTGCTTTTGGGATTTACTGGCGTGTTTTTTCTCTAATTGTTTAGTCCAGCGATGTCCAGGGCCAGTTTAGGAAGGAACCGGAAACTCTTTGACCCAAAGCTGGATACCCTTCATCCAGGCTGACCTGGGATATGCTGGAGTGTGGTGGATTCCTAGGCAGGTTACCAGGAGAGGAGGTGGCTGGAATCACCTTGGGGAGAGGTTATGATCAATGGGAATGAAAAAGGAAAGACTTCATCACTTCAGCTCTGTGAGGCTCTAGATTGTGCTTAAAGCGTCAATGGCCAGTGATGGAAACATCCTTGTGGTGGAAGAGGGGACAGAAGTCTCCCAACTCTTCTTAACTAGAGGCCCCCCCTGCACTCGTGGGGATTTGGAAGATGGTGGACCACAGAGCGGGATCAAATGAGCCCCTCTTATTTTCACACCCTCCAGGATATTAACGATGTTTGTACTGCTTTGGTGATGTTCACTTATGCTTTGCTCAGTTGATTTGGTTACAGAGAAAGCATTTCAGAATCACATATTAGGCCTGCTATAAATACCTTCATCAGTAGACACCTGCTTCTGAGCCCTCATTGTTAGCTGATTAAGAAGTAACTTTCTAAGTGCATCTGCACTTTTATTTAAAAAGGATACTGAACCGTGGGATTTTTTTTTTTGGTGCCCTGTATTTTTCCCCACAATAAATGAAGACTCAATATCTCTGTCCCAGAAAAAAAAAAAAATCACTAATTGGATCACCTTTGATTTACTTGCTTGTACTCTCCATTCTTTGTGTACTGAACACATTTTTGCAAAGGCTGCTCTATTCTTAGGGACAAATTGATTCACAAATAGAATTTGGTGGAAAAATGCAATGGGAGAGAATGAGCCAGAGGGAAATCAGAGTAGGAGATAAGAGAATCAGCAAATTATAAGAGAGTCAAAAATAACTCTGGTATAGATACACCTTAATTAAGGGAATCGATGTCTCCTTGGTAGGTATTCTACAGTACTTTGTGATTTGCATTATAAAAACAAAGATGCATTTGGCAAAAAGGGGTCTCTGTAATATGTAACGAGGGGCTTCGTTAGGAATTTTTCGTGGAAATGTTAAACCCTTTCTTTGGCCAATGTATTTTCCTCTCCACCTTACCGCCATTTTGTTCACTACCACTTGCCCATACTGCCAAAATCAATCTGTAACTTCCCTCACTCTCTTCCAGAGTTGTCCTCCACCAACTCCCCACCCATTTCTCTCCCCACCTCATTATCAGAGTAATTTCCTTCATAAAAGATTGAATTACGCCATTGCCCTGGGTTTTAAAAACTACGTAAATTTAAATATTAACATCAGTAAGAATTCTGTGATTGAGGGTGAAGTCCATAATCTCCTTTATAGCCTGGTAATTTCCCTGGAGGCAAGTGATGTGGCTTTTCTTCCCTTGCAGCCCCATGCCCAGAAAATAGGTATTTACTGAGTGACTCACACCGCCCGAGTCCCTTCACCACCTGGGTCGAATCTATTCCAAGTGCCCTGCCTTCTGTCTCCCTTACAGCTGCATTCAGTCAGTCATCCGTCCCTCCTGGAGCACCTTGCTAGGTAACAGAAGTCCAGCTGAAATTGGTAAATTGTCTGACCTCCAGGAGGTGCCAGTGGAGGGGCTCACCTAGACTGTCCTGGAGAATCGCCAGAGACGAGGCACTGGCCTCAGTGCAGAGAACGGAGAAGGTGGCGTGTGCGAGATAGGAGTGGACCCCAGGGCCAGGACACGTGGGCATCGAAGACGGGCTTGGGAGCTAGGGATGAAGAGAGGGAAAGGCAAGGTCAGGTCATGAAAGAGCGTATTGAGGATGCTTCGGGGGGCAGGGAGAAGGCATAATGTTCTCCTGGATGATTCTACTAAATGCAGCAAATTGTCTCAGGCGAGATTGCAAATGGTTGAAGGTTGCGAGGACCATCGCGGGTTCTGGCAGCTTCCAGAAGCTGACTTTTCAGAGAGCCCAGTGTCTATGATTCCCAGAGGCAGCTGCTTGACTCAGACAACCCGTTGGCCCCATTTCCAGGAGAGATGTTGCTTCAGGGATGTTACATCAGCCTCTCCCTGAACGAAGCCCACACATCAAAGGTAAGCCCCTCCATCCACTCCCCTTCATGCCAGCTCCGTCCAACTCAAGCCCCCTCCACCTCCAAGCCCACCTCCCCCCCAGTCCACTTCCTTCCCCGTCTACCCCCACCATGTCCCACAGCCAATGCAGAAAGAGGAGGAGAGCACATATAATGCATGTATGGGAAACACAAGTCACGTTCAGGTCTAAAAAGATATGTGCATATGCCATCTTGGGAAAAGGCCAAGGGATTACGGTTTTTAGAAGTCGGTGACGAAGCTTTAAGATCAATGCGGATTCTGCAGGCATACAATGCCAGGGTCGGACGAAACTAGTGATTTATTGCGATCACCTAGAGAGGTTACAAGTTCACCTTAGCTTTTATAATTGTTGTGAATAGAAATAATTTATCAGGTCATATATAGGGTGACTAATGGGAATCATTTACCTTCTGGATGAATTGGGATCTGGCTGTAGAGTGACGCCCGGGTATCACAGGCTGACGGGGTATTCTTCCAGCATCATTTTCTCATACCAAATGATCGCTGTCCCCCCCCCCCCCGAATATTGTGGGGAGCCTCAAACAGTGCAAGCTAACGAGTATGTGCTAAGCAGCAGCTCTGACATCCTACTTTGTGGTGTGCCTTTTGCAAAAGTCCTTTTCTCCCTGCAAGCTTTGCTTTGTTCATAAGCATTTTATGTAACAGGCAAACAAAAGCACTCATTGCAAAGCGAATGAATTAATAAACTCAATAGGTTTCTTATGTTGAGTTTAATCTGATTAGTGATTAAAACCTTCCAGAAATTAATCCTGAGATTCGCTGGATTATTAAAATGTTTAGTGGGGTAAAAGGGTGGATATCCATCTACCCAATCTTATGCAGTACATGACCCAAAAATGCCAGATTTAAGGGAATGATCCATTCGACTTTTGATGAGACATTAATGAGGCAATGTCTGGTTTTATTAAATATTATACATTATTCATAAACCATCCATTCTGGAAACTAAAATATAGACATTTTCATATTATAAGCATCAATACTACATGAGATTAGCCTGGGGGTCACCCAGAGGGACCTCAGGGACCAACACACTTCCCAGAACAATTTGTGAACAGTTGCTCTAAATGACACCCATTGGTGGATTTGGGATAGTCTCTCTTTCGGGGAAAATATCCATTTTTAAAAGTTTATTTTTACAATATTTCTTTGTTCTTCTGGCCTATAAAATAGACTTTTTCCTATCATGAATATGTCAAATAAAAATGGTGATTTTAAGTTATCCAAAATAAACATGATTTTACTCAGAACCTTATCGTGAGGAGCTGTGCAAAATTACTTTGACATAAGAATAAACCTTATTCCTTCAACTCCCAATGAAAGTAAAATGCATTTCAGATAGGACTTTATTTCTCGTATACATTGAGAATGCCACACCCAAAATATAGTCACGACCCCATGAATGGAAAGACCATATAACACGACTCTAAAATATCGTAGGTTGGGGCGCCTGGGTGGCGCAGCCGGCTAAGCGTCCGACTTCAGCCAGGTCACGATCTCGCGGTCCGGGAGTTCGAGCCCCGCGTTGGGCTCTGGGCTGACGGCTCGGAGCCTGGAGCCTGTTTCCGATTCTGTGTCTCCCTCTCTCTTTGCCCCTCCCCTGCTCTCTCTCTTTCTCTCTCTCTCTCTCTCTCTCTCTCTCAAGAATAAATAAAACATTAAACAATAAAAAAAGAACTACCTTACTCTTCTAATTCATGGTTACTATGTGATCTTAACTGCTCTTGCTGTTATGAATTTAGCCATATCCCCAAATTCATATGTTGACGTCCTGACTAACAAGCACCCCAGAATGTGACCTTAATGGAGAGGGGGGATCTTTACAAAGGTGATCAAGTTGCAACGAGGTCATTAGGGTGGGTCCTAATCCAATATGACTGGTGTCCTTATGGAAAGGGGAGATTTGCATACAGACTTGCACACGAGGAGAATGGCCTTATGAACATGAAGGCAGAGATGGGGCAACACATCAGTAGGCCAAGAAATGCCAGGGGTTGCCAGCAGCCCCTGGAAACCAGGGGAGAGGCAGGCATCGGATGCTCCCTCGCAGCCTCAGAAGGGACCAGTCTTGTGGAGACTTCTGGCCTCCAAAACTGGAGAAACCATAAACTTCTGTCACTCAAGCCACCCAGTCTGTGGCATTTTGCTGCCGAAGCCGAGCAAACTAACAAGTTCGCTGTCAGCATCTTCTGACAAACGTCCATTCTCGCGTCACAGAGCGCCCATACCGCTCATCTTTTGGGGTCTTTCCGTGTTTTTCAGGAAAACAAAAACCAAAAAACAAGTAGGTGCTGAATTATACGCCAGTGAGACCTTTCCCTCCCTCCACCCCCAAGTCTTCGGGAGAACCGTGGTTTGCAGCACCTGGTGAGTTTATTTTTACCACAACGGAAGATGTTTGATAAAAGCGACACAGATTCGTTGATGTCAATAGCTGTTCTCTGCTTACTTACTCCAGGCCCATCCGTCCCAAGACGAACCCTCAAAGGCAGCCAGCCCCTCAGGAGAGAGCTCCGACCACGTGGAGTGCCGGCTGTCACAGCACCACATCTGCCCTGAGACCCTTCCCCTTCCCTTGACTGACTCCTCCTCTCTCCACAAGGACCGTTGCTACCTGTGCTTCCAGGAGCCCTGTTTCCACATTCCGTCCTGCAGGACAAACACGGGCCTGGAGCCAGTGTCTGGGTTCCCATTTCGGGTGCCCCCCGGAAGGAGTGATGGCCCAGGCAAGGAACGGCCCTTTCTTCTGCCCTAGGTCTACCTGCGAAAGAGGCAGCTTTACCACGCTGTGCTGAGAACCACCGGGGAGGCATCTTGACCAATTCCTGACAAAGGGACAGTGCTTACTTGTATAATGTTTCTATTCTGCAACCGTGCCACCACGTGCATACCTCTGCTTGAGAACCCACCGCACCACAGTTCCGTCTTCCCTTTACTTGCCTACCGTGTCCACTGTGCACATCTTTGTGCATACACAGAGTGCATTGGCTCTACCTAACTACTGAGTGTTTCTCACAAACATTTCAGAACGCGTGATCTTTATGTATTAATCCTTGCCAATTAAATTCAGCATCTTTCTTCCCTTTATGGAGAAGAGAAAACCAGACCACAAGAGGTTAAGAATGACCCAAGTATCACGAAGTTTGTAACGATTCACCAACATCTGCACACTTTTAATTTGCAGACACATTAAGGAAATAACTCGGCCAAGGAAGGGCTCTGGTTGTGCGGTCAAGGCAGGCGACCAGGATGATGAGGCGCCAGTGACGGTGAGGGCCTCACGTGCTCACCCTGGAAAATCCCCTGTTACGTGTCAGGGGGTCACAACAACCCCGTATGACAGGACAAGTAGACCCTGTTCTGCCAGTTAACCCATGGGTTATGCAAAGGGTCGGTTAGGGCACGGAAATGTCAGTGAGACTCACGGGCTGGATGGAGGGTCAGTCGGTCAGTCAGTGCACCAGCACAGCATTTGGAGGATTAAATGCTAAAATATTCTCATGCCCTTTGGTAATTAGCCACTGCAGGAGGTCCCTAGATACTCCCTCAATCCCTTCTATACTGCCCTCCCCTAATCTCTAGAGCTGCCCCCGTTCCAGCATCTCGAGGGGTAATACCTGACCCAGCACTGAGCTGTAGTACCTGTGATAATGCCCCAAGGCCCTCCTCCCTCCACATGGCACTTTCACACTGTCCAAGCCTGTGCAAACCCATCTGAATGGTTATGGCCATTCCCTACTTACAGGTCATTCACTGTCTTCAACATCGAACCTGGGAAACCATGTTTTTTAAAATTAAAACTATAAATGTCCACTTATTTTCCAATCTTTTGAAAAGGGAAGAAATCATTTCTTTGAATATGATCTGTTGTGTTCAATTTCCAAGACCCTCTTGAAATGTACGCTTAAGGCTTAATGTATGATCTGTGTATGTGTTTTTTAATAAAGAAGTGAGACCTCGCAGACACTTTGTAATTTGAATATGGAATCTTTCCAGTTCGTTTAATTTGCCTTCTGCTTTCTTTCTTTCTTTCTTTCTTTCTTTCTTTCTTTCTTTCTTTCTTTCCCTTTTTGAGAGAGAAAGAGCATGAGTGGGTGCAGGGGGGGCAGTGAGAGAGAAAGAGAGAGAATATTTTGTTTAATTTTTGTTTTTTTGGTTTATTTTTGGAGAGAGACAGACAGAGCAGGGGAGGGGTAGAGAACCCCAAGCAGGCTTCACACGATCAGCACAGAGCCTGATGCAGGGCTCGAACTCAGGAACCATGAGATCATGACCAGAGCCAATCAAGAGTCAGACACTTAACCAGCTGAGCCAGCCAGGTGCCCCTGATTTTCCTTCTAAGTGTGAGTTCCTTGAATCCTTCCTGCTGTAGGATTTTTGAAGGTTACATGCTTTAATCAAATTTTTCATTTGTGTGGTCATCAGTCAGATGGTTTAAAATGGGAATGAAGAATGGGGGTTAATTTGGACAGTTTGTTAAGTCAAAAGGGATTAAGAGAGGAGAACCCGGCTGGTTCAGTCAGTAAAGCATGTGACTCTCGATCTCAGCGTCATGGGTTCAAGCCCCAAACTGGGCGTGGAGCCTACTTTAAAAATTGGTTAAGAGAGCTATTTTACTGCAGTATGCCCCTCATTTTGAAATTAAATACAACAATCCAGAGAGGTTAAATAGAATACACTCAAAGGTAAACAGGGGGTAAAAAGCAAAAACCTGCCCCGGCAGCCACGAGCCCACCCAGCATTCAGATCTGTGTTTCCAATTTCCATCCTCCACTGAAAGGATCCAGGGCTTCTTGGAGAAATGCCTGGTTCCAGAGCTGGAGCAGCATATCTACCAGACGAGCCTGGAGCATCACAAAGTGCCAGAAATTAGGAGGGTGTTCAAAAAGCAACAGCAGAAAGCAGCTATGATAAGACTATGTCAAAGGGACACAGGAGCCAACTTCCAGCTCCCCATGCCTAGCCTGGAACAATTCACCAACAACATAAAGAATGTGGTATTGGGTTACAATGCAAAGTATAAGTGAAATATTCATGAGTTTACACCGATATAATTAAATGACTGAATAAGTAAATACTGGAGTGTTCTGTATGTTTTTTTTTTTTTTCCTGTTGAACTTATTGAATTCTTGAATTGTTACTTTAAAGAACTTACGATCCAGGGGAGGATTTAAATTTTGAAGCATTTAATGGATGAAGCAAGGCAGAATATATCTCATGACATTGGACACGACAATCTGTTAGAGGTGCCCAGCAAAGCTAGGATTGACACTAACTGCAGGTGTCAGGGAGGCAGGCGTTCAGCAAGGTCGGAAGGACTTAGGTGAGCAATCAAGAGTGGGTGAGATATGACAGGTAACGTCCCATTGGAAGTATGAAGGGACACCGAGGGGTAGGTGAGGAGGGGCCAGGTTAGCAGGAAGCCAGGTATGTGCCATACGTTTACGTATCTACACAGCTGAGGGTGCTAAGTTGTATGTTTACACCTTAGTGTAATAAATACCAGATGAGTAGCTTCCTGTTTTAGCTTGTTTTTGGAGGAAAAAGTGCAGGCGCATGAGCA